GACTGACTTACCAAAGCAGAGAGTTTATTTGGGAATAGCAGGAGTTTGCAATCCAAGATGTACATGCTATGATGGATCATAGGTACATCCAAGGGGTTTGGGGAAAGGGGAAAGCTTTTAAAGACACAAAGGAGAAGCCCACATAGGCTGTTTTGAAACAAGGACCATTGGTTATGGGGCTTGTTGCAGGAGTTGGCATTAGATTTTTGGTGGAGACAGCTGGTGTCAGGCAAGTGTCCTTGAGCAAGCGGCTTAACTGGATTACTGCTTTATATATTAACAGACTCAAATATGTTTAGCTTTTTGATATGGCATGAAAATGAGATGCTGAAGTATATATACTTTAAAACTTGTGTTCAGCAATAATGTTTCAGTGTTTTACCTTACTTGGAAATGATCTAGATTTAAAATTTAACTTAGAAAAATTCGAAGGGTATGGCTACCGAAGAAATTTGGGACACTTTTAAAAGTAGACATATTTTAAAATATAATGATTGTTAAAAAGTACATATATAAACTTTTATTTCAGTTATATCTCTTTAATTCACTCATTCTTAACAATTATGCTTGGAACACTCATGAAAATTACATAAGACATGAAACAAAGCTGCCGTCACCTCAAGTTATTTTCCTATTATCCGTTTCGACAGCACATGCATGTCAGGCAGTCATGACAAAGCAAGAACCCTAAAGTTAAGTACATGAGTATTGTTGACAGCTCAGAAGACACAAAAGTTCTCATTAAACTGACAATATTAAGCAAGTCTTGTTACAGATTTACTTAAGTCATGTAAACCTGAAAAGCATTTAGGTTAGTTCCTATATTTCTAGGAATTTTAGGTATACTCAATCATCTCTAAGCCAATTTGAATAAAGCCTTTACTATTTGTAAAGACCTTTACAATTTTTCATTTGCTCAATATTCAAATAGTCAAAAATCATGCCAACAAGGAAGAAAGTGGACAGGGGGCAGAGCATATAAAGTTAGCAAGGCTTTTAGAAAAGGAATTTCAGTTGACTAAGATGTTCCCATGGGAGAAGCAAGATTTAATAGAACAGAGGGGCCTTAAAAAATGTATGCATAGCCTGAATATTAGCTTCCAATTGACTTCTGGCCATAGAGTTCCTTAAAAAAATCCTCCTTGGCCAGGCCCAGTGGCTCATGCCTGTAATCCCAGCACTTTGGGAGGCTGAGGCGGGCGGATCACGAGGTCAGGAGATCGAGACCATCCTGGCTAACATGGTGAAACCCCGTCTCTACTAAAAATACAACAACAAAAAAAACAGCCGGGCGTGGTGGTGGGTGCTTGTAGTCCTAGCTACTTGGGAGGCTGAGGCAGGAGAATGGTGTGAACCCAGGAGGCGGAGCTTGCGATGAGCCGAGATTGCGCCACTGCCCTCCAGCCTGAGTGACAGAACGAGACTCGGTCTCAAAAAAAAAAAAAAAAAAATATATATATATATATATATATACACACACACACACACACATACACACACACCCCTCAAATATCTTACTATCAGGTTTCATCTGTGACAAACAGCAAATATTCCTGGCAGTATTGAACTTTTTTGTTTCCTTTCTGAGTATACAGCTTAGGAGAGAAAGCCAAACAAGCAAACGGTTCAATTCCAAACCAAAGATGTAATTCAAACTCATTCTTACAAACGTTTTTCTCTTGAGAAGCTCTGCAATTCAGTTTTATGCTGCAAAGGATAGGCTGTGAGTGGATATGTGTATGACAATCTTGGTCTATAATCCTACACAAATTTTATTTGGATTAATGGTGGAGGAGTCAGTCTAGTCAGACACATTGTCTTTCTGAGAGCCTCGCAAGAGTTACTTTTATAGATAGGAATGATGTGTGGTTAGCATACTATTTTATGCAAATTGTGGCTTCCTCATCAAGTGTAATGCATCTTTTATTCCTTAAGAACAGATACTTTAATGGTTGAAGCTGCTATATATTTACTCAGTCCTTCACAGCTTGGTTGTTGAAGATCGAGAATAATTTCCCCACTTTTCCTATTTATTTTAAATAGGCAATATGTTCCTATGACTCAAAACTTAAATGGTACAAAAAGGTCTATGGTGAAAAATTTCCCTTTCACCTCAAGCCACTATCAAAGAGAAATTACACTGGATACTTGTTAAAAATGGCAAGACAGATTTTATTTGAGCTACTGCAATAGGGAAGAGAGACTTCAGCATATAACCAAAGTCAACTCTGAATATAGCAAGGGTAGCTGGGTATTTTTAGCCAATGGACTTGGTGAGGAAATCAGTGGATAGAAAATTATTAAGAGGAACTTGATTAGATATTAAGGGTAGGGGTTCTCACTAAACTGACTTGCTAAACTTGTGTTGGCAGGCCAAGGACAAGGCCTAGTTGAGAAGAGGACTCAGAGAAGCCTGAATAATTTGGTCAAGGAGGGAGTCCTTGTCACCAGCCAGCAGTGTTCCTTTCTGTGGACAACCACTAATACTGTATTTATTTTGTTTTAATAACACCAGGTATTTTCTTTATATTAAATTATGTTAGGAAAAGTCTCATTTCAACCAGATGTGATCCAGTCTTACTATTTGTTTAGGTTCTAGAAAATGCTGCCCTATTCACCAGTTCCATTTAGGGCCTCATTTTCTTGGGTATAAAGTGGGATTGCTGTGAGCTTCCTCAGAGATTGTAAAGATATAATTGATGTATAAGGATTCAGCAGCGCCTGGCACATGGCAGGCATCTAATGATTGAGATTGCCCTTCCTCCCTTTCCCTGTTGCCAAATGGGCTATTTTCCCAACTTTTTTTGGGCCTCTTGTTTGAACCACAAATTTTGGTGCCCTAGCAGTCCTTGGTGCTTGTAATGGATATCTGTTTCCCTGCCATCTGTCTTTGTCTGACAAGCTGCATGTGAGTTCGTGCTGCCCACATGCTCTGCACTTCCATTCCATGCTGCAGCCCAGCAGCAGTGTCTACAACCTGAGATTTCCTAAGTGAATAGTCTCAATTTACTCCATACTTTGAAAAAATAGCTTTACCTGTGCCACATGACATTGCTAGTTGTGGTTCACTATGTGCTTTAAACACTAATTATCCTGGAAGTTGAATGTATGGAATATTACTTGAATATATACAGTGAGAGCACTGTAGCTAGTGTTTGGCTGGGTTGTTGCTCCATGAAGGATACATTCTTTCTCAGATTCCTCTTTGCCTGGCAGTGCAGTTAGAGACAATCCCTTGTTCTGAGTGGAGGGGAAAGGGTTGGGCTTTACAGTTTTGATGGAGCTTCCTTTAAATCCTGGCTCCCTGGCTTTCAGCTTTTCCAAGCATTAGTTTCCCTAGGGTAACCCAGGTGCAGGGGAAGTCTCTTAAAGCAAGTTGTTTCCCCTCCACCTTGCTCCTAGGTCAGAGGTTCTCAAAGTGTGCTCCCTAGATCAGCAGCATCAATATCACCTGAAGTTTGTTAGAAATGCAAATGAGAAACATTGAGGTGGAGGCCAGGTGCAGTGGCTCATGCCTGTAATCCCAGCACTTTGGGAAGCCGAGGCAGGCAGATCGCTTGAGGTCAGGAGTTCAAGACCACCCTGGCCAACATGGTGAAACCTCGTGTCTACTAAAAATACAAAAATTAGCTGGATGTGGTGGTAGGCACCTGTAATCCCAGCTACTCGGGAGGCTGAGGCAGGAGAATTGTTTGAATCTGAGAAGCAGAGGTTGCAATGAGCTGAGATTGTGCCACTGCACTCCAGCCTGGGTGACAGAGAGAGACACCATCTCAAATAAAACAAAACAGAAACCAGAAACATTGAGGTGGAGCCCAGCAATTTGTCTTTCAACAAGCTGGAATGTTTGTTGTTTCAGAGATTCCTTCAACAAGAATCTTTGGAAAGATGATTCTGATGCACACTCATGTTGGGATACTGGCTTTACTGCATAAAGCCACCAGGCAGAGGCTCTTGGCTTCTGTTAATATTTTCCTATACTCATTTATTTTAGGTTAGTAGAAGGTTTGTATTCCTATTTGGGGATGACAGAGGTCAGTGTCTGGCTTGAGTGCTCTGGGCATGGCAGCCTCAGAGATGCAACAACCTCCACTGAGCCTGCAAAAGACTGAGAGAGTCACTGCTTCCTGCTCAGCTACACAGTCCCCCTGGAGGTTGACAGGGGCTTCTCCATTTCTGTTCCAGTTTACCTCTAGCTAACCCAGTGTTCTCAACCTTACCACTATTGACATTTTGGGTCAATCTTTGTTGTAGGGGGCTGCTATAGTTTGAATGTCTCCCAAAGTTCATGTGTTAGAGACTTAATCCCCAATGCAATAGTATTGAAAGGTGAGAACTTTAAGAGAGTTTAGGTCATGAGGGCTCTGCCTTATGAATGGATTAACATTGTTATCATAGGAGTAGGTTCATTATTGCAAGAGTATGTTTGTTATAAAAGTGAGTTTGGCGTTCTCTTGCTCTCTCTCATGCATGCTTTCTTACCCTTCTGCCTTCTGCCATGGGATGACACAGCAAGAAGGCCCTTGCCAGATGCAGGCCCTTTGACCTTAGACTTCCCAGTTTCCAGAACTATAGGAAATAAAATTTTTTCTTTATACATCACCCAGTCTGTGTTATTCTGTTATAGCAACACAAAATGGATTAAGACAGGGGCTGTCCTATGCATTATAGGATGTTTAGCAGTATCCCTGTTTTCTGCCCACTAGATGCCAGTGGCAGCACACCCTTAGTTGTTACAATCAAAAATGTCTCCAGACATTGTCAAATATTCTCTGAGGGTCAAAAATCACTCTGTACCTCCCTTTGAGAACGACTGGTCTTATGTGGGTGACCACTTGAGTGGAGGTGGTCACTGGGAAATTTTGTCTGGAGGGGAGAGCAGTGTAACTGGAAGGAAAGTTTTGAATCTTGGCCCCTCCAATTACTAGCCACGTGACTTCTTTCCCTGTCCCCTACTCACTCCTAGTCTCCCTTAACCAAAAAATTGCACACACACAATCTTTATTTTCATAAATGACTTTTACTTATCATTTCTCTTGACAGTAATTCTTGGCAATGTGCATATAACATGAAGGGAAGCATAACTTTCAGAAGTCATCAAAGATATTATCCTGTTGTCCTCATTTTCTTAAACCATTAAAATATTTTCATTTATAAAAATTAATCTAAATATAAATATTGACACTAAAGATCAAAATCACTTGATGACAAAATAATTCTTCTGGAACTATAACATATGCTTATGGTTTTTAATAGTAAATTAAATCTTTGCACTTATTTGGCACAAGGAAACCTTTATAAAAGTTCAAATGCCACACAGCAGGCTGCTTATTCTTCTTTTTTGTTGTTTTTTGTTTGCAAGGCTTACACAGTACACATTTTTGTCAAAGAAAACTGAATATTTTTAACACTGTAACACAACAATAGTTGCTTTTCATGCCTGTTAAAGAAAACGTTCTATTTGGAAGTCAAATCTTTTTTTGTCGTGTTTTTAAAATTTGTTTTTGTTTTGCTTTGAATCACACCAACAGAACAAAAAGCCGAAGATTTACTTATTTCAAAGGAGTCATTTCTGTTAGATGACACATAACACAGCATCAGCAAGGAGTATTATTGGAAGATAACATAGACCCCCATCAGGAGTGGATCATAGCACACAAATCAGCAGAAAATCAGATCTGGAAATGCACATAGCAGCAAAATAACGTAGAGGTTGAAAACAACAGAGTTAGGCTTTTGTGATGCATTCCAATCATAATTAGCATAAAGGTGTGGCTTTGGCAAATTAATCTCTCTGGCCTTCAGTTATTAAATTTGAAACATGGGAAAACTTATTGAATAAGGTTGCCATAAGGATTAAAATGAGAAGAACATTGCCTCCTTCAGAGCAGGCACTTAACACACATTCATTATAACTCTTCTCTTGCCTCCTTTCTTTTACCTTCCTAAGATTCAGACTATATCAGGAACAAACATAAAAGAAGGTTGTTAGTGCCCAATTAATTGAGTGAAAGTTCAGTTCCATTTGCTTTTATAAACACTCTAAATAGTCATGCATTTGATATGGGTTCAAAGAAACCACAGACATGGAGTTAGAGTCAACTCTTGCGTCCATTAAATGCACAGTTTGTCCTTGAATTTTTTATACCTATAAATTATCTAAGGCTATTTCCTAATCATTTTTATCTTTAAGGTCATTTTACTACTTTGCTGAATATTTATTGGGAAGTAAATTTGGAGGACAAAATTTTTCTCATGTGGTCTTTCTCTGTGGTAATTCATTTACCTAAACTTTATTTAGATGTGATCATTGCTAAACCACATCATGTTGATTCTGGACAGTGCCCTAAAGTTGAGCCAATGATGGTCTTTCTCAAGCCCCTTTCCCCTTCAGTTTTGGGAAACTGTCAGTAAGCCCATGGAAGAACCCTAAATTCTTAATGAGACACTGTTTCAGATAGACCTGGGCATGGCATGAGTGAGTCAGAACTTCTCATCCTGTGGCTTGTGATTGCAAAGCAATGGGAATGACTGGTAGTGTGGTAGGCTGAGATTTTAGTAGGAAGGAGGTGGCTGAAGGGAGACCTGCAGTCTTGACGGTTGAGCAATCCCCAAATTAGACTGTCCCTAGTGTTCACTGCATGGACTTGCTTTTCCCTCAGGATTTGCAAGACAAAGATGCTTGTGAGAGATTAATAAGCATTAATGATGGATTAAATAATAATTCCCACCTTCCTCCCTCCACCCCCCTCCAACAGTTTTCTTTTGGAAAAATTGTTGACATGGAATACTAGCCGAATCAAAGGGATAAAAAAAAAAAAAAAGATCTTAAAGTCAACACACAGTAGCAAAGCAAACAGGGAAAATATGTATCTTAAACATGGAGCTCTGCTGTTGGAAGCCAGTGTCTTGGTTTTCTGTCTTGGATTCCCCTGGGAGCCTAAGGCAGAGAGTGGGCAAGACCGCAATGCTGAAGTCTGAGACAGCTTTCTGGATGAGGTATCAGGACAGCCCTGTGCAATGGTGCACTGTGGCCTCCCCAGGCCTTCTCCTCAGGTGGAAATCCATACAGTACTCGATGGCTGTTGGGTCAAGGCACTGTCGTGTACGGCCGGAGGCAGTGAGTCACTGGCAGTGGAATTCCATGGTGTCAGTACATCACAGCTGACTCCAGAGCAGGCTCCTGAGGTGAGACATTGAACACACTCTCATCAGCCACTTGGGAAGACTGAGAATAAGCAATGAAAAATAATGTTGACTGCTTTTTAAAAGCTATTCATGCTTATTGACCAGTTAGATGTTTCACAACATTTAGAAAGTGATGTCATTTTTAAATGCATACTTCTTAATCCACCTGAAATTAATTTTGGTATTTGGAATAAGGTAATTATCGAATGTGCCTTCTTTCCCACTACCGTCCCAATGTCCAGTATTGCAAGTACAGTGTTCTTGTTTGTTTAATAATCCAATACCTTCTTTACTAGTTTCTAAATCTTTTACAAAGATAATATAACACATTCTCATATGTGGCTGTATCTATTTCTGGGCTATTTTATTTCATTAATGATCAGTTTCATTTCAGCTTTTAATGTGTTTTAAAATCTGGGAGGAAAATCTCTGGAATTTTGCAAAATGCTTTTGTCTGTTCTTTCTATTATTACATGAACTTTAATTCAAGGAAAATTTCACCGAGTTTTTAAATGAAAATTGGATTAAGCTACAGATTAATTTGGGAAGAAATGACTTTTCTTATTGAACTGTTGATGTGATTTATTAAAATCCACTTATGCCTAGTGTTCCACTATTGGAACGCTAAGCGTGTGGGAGTTATTTGTATCCTACTGCTAAAGGTCATCACCAAGGTCTGATTTTTCACTCATGTGAAAATTCAAAAAACTGCAACCTCCAGCATAAATGGGATTGATATCACAGTATTTAAGCTATCCTTGCATTCCCATAAAACCTACCTGTTATTTATTTATTCATTTGTTCTTAGAGATAGGGTCTCACTCTGTTGCTCAGGCTGGCATGCAGTGGTGCGATCGTAGCTCACCGCAACCTCAAATTCCTGGGCTCAGAGGATCCCCCCTTAGCCTCTCTAGTAGCTGGGACTACAGGCACATGCTACCATGACTGGCTAACTTTTTAGTTTTTGTAAAGACAGGTCTCACTATGTTGCCCAGGCTGGTCTTGAACTTCTGGCCTCAAGTGATCCTCCCACCTTGGTCTCCCAAAGTTCTGGAATTATAGGTGTGAGCCACCTCGCTTGGCCTACTGTAATTTATTACTGAATGCACTGCTCTTTAATTGGCTAATATTTTATTTCATATTCTTCATCTCTGAAGAAGTACAACTGGTGTAATAATTTTCGTGTGTCTGTGCGTGCCTGTGTGTGATGGGCACAGAACATGTATACACGCTTACCAGACATGGATCAGGCTTTCATGATTGGGGTTCTGATAGCTTCACAACATGAATCTTTTAGTTTTCAATATTTTGATAACCTGGAATATTTTATATGGTATGGGAATTAATTGTTGCTTAAAAAAAATCAGCAAAATCATTTGGCCACAGAATCCTTTTGAAAGGTTTAATAGATTTTAAGTTTCTTTTTATTTCTTAAGTTAGTTTTTGCTATTTTTCTGATTTGATTCTGATTTGACTAGTATTGATTCTAAATTTATGAGAATAGTTTTACACCACATTATATATTAAAAAATTGACATCCTTTTATATAATCTTTTGTTTTCAGTTTTTTTCTTTATGTGACTTACAAAACATTTCTATTTTTTTCAAATAATCAATTCCTAGATGTAGATGTAGAGAGATCATTTCTATAATTTCTGGTCTTAATTAGATGTTTTTTATGTTTATTTTTGATGTGGGGAATTCAATGTCTAGTTGTTTTGCTTCTTCTTTAACAAGGAACAAAATATTTAATACTATAAATTTGACACAGTGTAGTTTTAGATGTATTCTATTTGCTTTGGTATATATAATGTTTTCATTTTGTAAGCGCCCTGTGGATTTTTCTAATTCAGTAGTTATTTTGAACTGTATGTGTATGTGTGTGTGAGTGTGCACGTGTATGTGTATGGACAGTTGTGTATGTGAGTACAAGTGCTTTTTAACTTCTAAGTAGGGTTTCTGTTTTTTAACTTAGGTTCTAATTTTCTACATTGGCCCTGTCCAACATGGTAGCCACTAGCCACATGTGGCTATTTACATTCAGATTAACTAAAATTAACTAAAATTTAAAAATCAGTTCCCTCAATGCAGTAGCCACATTTCAAGTATTCAATAGCCACATGTGGCTCGTGGCCACTGTACTGGTCACTGCAGATATAGACCATTACCCTCATTACATGAAGTTCTATTAGACAGCACTGCCCTAGATTATGTTTGGCATTGTGATCATAGAGGGTTTACTTTTTGGAATTTATTGAGGTATTCTTTGTGATTTTGTATAAAGTCAATTTTTATAAACGGTCCATTGATGCCTGGAAAGAGAGTGAATTATCTATAAAATATAAAGTTAGATAAACATCTTAATTAAAGCTTAACAGTTACACTATTCAATTCTCTAATTTGTATTTATTTATGGGGTACTTGGGCTGCCAAAGGCTGATAAGGGAGTTTTAAAGTCACCAACCATTGCACCATAAATTGTGTTGCTTTATTATCTGCCAAATCAAGAAAGGCTCATGACTTAACTACTTTATTTTATCAACATTTAAACATCTTTCCTCCTTGTTTTCTCTCAATGCTTTTTATCTGGAATTCTCCTTTCTTTGAAAGTAATTATTTCTGCCCTATTTTGCTTTTATTTGTTTAGTAAATATTGTCTATTCTTTCATTTTTAACCTCTCTGTGTTACTTTAAGGTAATTTATTTTTATTTTATTAAAAAAAGTATTGAGGTGAAAGCCACGTAACATAAAATAAACCATTCTAAAGTGAACAATTTGGTGGCATTTAGTATGCTCATGAGGTTGTACATCTACCACCTTTATCTAGTTTCAATAAATTTCTGTCACTCTAAAGTAAAACCCCTTACTCATTAAGGAGTTTCTTCCTATTGCCCCTTCCCACAACCTCCGGCAGCCACCAATCTCATGTCCTGCCTCTATGAAAGACAATTTATTTTTAACTTTCTTATTTATAACCAGTTCCTTCCATGATCCTAGTGGTCTGCCCTTTTAGTGTGATAATACATCTTTTTCCGCTCTGTGAAATAATGGTCAGAAGCAAGGGAATTAGACTTTAAAAGGTCAGGGTTAATGGCTGACCAATGAAGAGAAGGCAGTGAGTAGAGCTACTGCCATATAATGCCTGAGAGTAACTTGTATTTCAAAAGGATGTGTCCACCATTATGCCATTATGAAGTGCTTCTGTGCTCATGAGACAGGGACAATGACAGGGAGGAAGAGGAAGGGAGGAATGGGTGAAGGATAAAAGAGAACAGAATAAATTTGTGCTTGCCTTAGTCTTGTCATCTCAGACATGATCTGCCCTCCGTGTAATTGGTATCACTGAGACAGCTTAGTCAGATGATCATTTTCTACATAAGCAGCATCAAACATTTGCCAAAACTGTGACATGTATGTTGGTTTTGTGAAAGGAAATTAAATCTGGGGGTCCCCAAATCGCTAAGCTAAAGGGAAAAGTCAAGCTGAGAACTGGGTCATGCAAACCTGCCTCTCGTTTTGTTTCCTAAATAAGATGGCTACAAGATGAAAAGCTACACGCCTCCCCCATATTTTGCCTACATGGAAATTCCTGGTTAGCTCCAAGATCTTTACCCTAAGGTGTTTCTGTTAAAATTTCACCATGGCAATGCAAATTGATAGCTTATCTTTACAGGTGCAGTCACCCCCCTGGCCCACCAGACACAAATGCATATCTGATTGTTCCCCTGCCCCATTTTTCTATATTATCTGCTGTAAAAATGCAGATTCCCTGCATTTTTCCTCTGCCCCGTTTGTCTATGTCATCTGATGTAAAAAAAAAATGCAGATTCACTGAGCCGGACAAAGGCATGAATGACTATTTTTCCCTACCCCCCTCTTACATGAAAATTACACGTGTACTTCTCAATAGCCTGCACTTTCCTTTTTAAATTTAGAGCCCTCAAAATCATCTTCTGAGAAAGGTATAGACCTGTCTCCTGCGTGCACATCCTTAACTTTGGCAAATAAACCTCATAAAATGATAGGGACTTGTCTCGTTATTTTTATCGATTGACAGTTTTTAAGCAAAAGATCCAACACACCTTTCTGTATAATTTCTAGAGTTCATGCAGATTATTTACTGTCTCTTCCTTTGCTACATTTAGGAGTAGCTGCTGACTTTTTTCAGGAACACAGCATTAACGGCTAATGCGAAATTTAAGGAAGACTGATTATGAACTGAAAACAGAATAAAAACTGTTACATCTCAACCAGACCTTAATATTCTATTTACATATTTTTATTTCTCTTATATCAAAGCTGCTTCCTACAAGGAGCTAGAGATGCAGTTGAGAGGATATACCCACATATTAAAGAGGTATATAGCAGGCAGGATGTTACTTAGTTTTAGAACCTTGTCCCTACTGCTAAACAAACCCTTAATAGCGGCTACACCATTAAGATGTCCTGATCCAACATCGAGGTTGTAAACTCTATTGTCAATTTGGATTCTAGAACTGGGGAACTTATTCCATTGATCAAATTATTGGGTCAATGTGTATTAACTCACTTAGACTAGTGCAGTCTTAGTTTAGGTTGTTTGGAGGTTGAATTATGCTCCAAGGTCACTCCAACCAAAATTTTTAATACACGGATAGTAGGCTAGGGCCTGCAGGCTTGTTTGAGTTTTTATTTGCATTAATGAATTAAAGCTCCATAGGGTTTTCTCATCTCATTTGTTTATATCCGCCTCTTCACGAATAGGTCAAATTCACCGATTAAAAGTAAGAGACAGCTGAACCTTCGTATGGCTATTCATACAAGTCCCTATTTAGGGAACAAGTGGTTATGCTACCTTTGCATGGTCAGGATACCGTGGCTGTTGAACATATGTGAGTGGGCAGGCAGTGCCTCTAATACTGGTAATGCTAGAGGTGATGTTTTTGGTAAACAAGTGGGGTAAGATTTGCCGAGTTCCTCTTACTTTTTGTAATCTCTCCTTAGAGCATACCTGTGTTGGGTTAACAGTGTCAATAATAGGGTGCTTATTATATCAGTTACTAATATTAGGCTGTTAACTGTCAGTGGGTTATTCCAGTCTGATGTAAGCTTATGCAATGGAGAATGTCTTCATGTTACTTATATTAACATTATTGCTTCTATTAAGTATTGATTAGTCCAGTGTGATGTTAGGAGTTCAGTAGAGTGATTAGAATTAAGATTTAGATGTTGAACTTAAACGCTTTCTTAATTGGTGGCTGCTTTTGGGCCAACTATGGTGGTAACAGTTTTTACTCTCTGTAGGAAGGTTGTTTCCTAGGGTCTAAAGAGCTGTCCATCTTTAGACTAACAGTTAAACTTACAGGGAGATTAAGTAATTCTGTGGGTAAGTTTAAAGCCGAACTAAGATTCTATCTTGGACAACCAGCTATCAACAGGCTCGGTAGGCTTGTCACTGCTGCTCATGAATCTTCCCACTATTTTGCCACATAAGTGAGTGTGCTTTTTCAGCTGTTCTTGGGTAGCTCATCTGGTTTCGGGGGACTTGGCTAAAGTTCTCTGTGTATAGTTATTTCTAGTTAATACATTATGCAGAAGGTATAAGGGCTCGTCTTTGCTTTTTAGTGCTTGATACAGTTCTTTTATCTTTCCCTTACGGTACTTTGTCTATTGTGCCAGGATAAACATTTCTATCGCCTATACTTTTGTCTAAGGTAAATGGTTTGATTAAGATAGTTTGATAATACTTTTAGCAAGGTTTGGGGCTAGAGTTGGCTCAAAGTGATCAGGTCATGATGAAATCTTCTGGGTATAAGCCGGATGTTTTGGGTTAAGCTCCATTTTGGTTTGTCCAAGTGCAATTTCCAGTACACTTACCATGTTACGACTTATTTCCTCTATACGTGCATAGAAAGTTATTAGTAATAGTGATTTCTAGAGTAACATTTGAGGAGGGTGACCGGCGGTGTGTGTGTGCTTCATGGCCTTATTCAACCAAGCACCCTGCTCTTGGTTTACCGCTAAATCCACCCCCCAGTCAAATCCAACAGACCATAAGACCATGGAGGAAGGATACTTTTTGGGGGTTCTGATGTGGGAGCTACAGAAGGAAAGGCTGCAGAATGGAGGTACCATCAACAGTGAAAGCGATGAACATTAAGACAGAGATGACATTTACCATCAAATCCTTGGTGGTGCCTTTCCTTTCCTTAGTCCTGTTTGTTGAGGAGCCTTGGAGAATGAAGTTGCGGTTAAATGTTTTAATGGTCGTCACTGAAGATGTCTCAATTTTTTCAGCTAAAAGGAAATAAATGGGAAAAAATGTTACCCAGAAGATGGACTGATTGTTAAGGAAAAAGCAAGGTGGGCAGATTACTCAGACTTTTGTTCTAGGCTTGGAATCTCATTCCTGTACTGTGTTTGACTATGGAATCTTTTTGTTTTGTGTTTATTTTTATGATAGACAAATAAGTTAGGGCATCATTGATAACTTTCTGGGAAATGATAGCTCAGAGATAACCCAGTACAGTTCATAAATACTTATGTGCAGTCCTGAAATAGAAAAGGTTCTAAAACTTGCAAATTTTTACAACTTTGGAGCCAAAAGAATCTGATTATAAAACCTGACCTGAACTGACATGAGGCCATTTAATGTCCTTGTCCATCTCATGGAGTGCAAATGTTCTTGTGCTCTGCTGTAAGGATATTAATGTGTTTGATTTTCAGATGCTGCCTAGATGCCACAGGGGGTGTTAAGAAATATACAGCACATGTACTATATTACCTTTCTAATGCTCAAGAAATTATGAAGCACATGTGGACCCAAGGGTTTCAAATAAAGGACTGTGAATCTGTGATAAATTTTAACTGCATACAGTTTTGTAGATTATAAACATTCAATAAATGTTTGTTAAATGATCAATAGCAGAACCAAGGCTCAAATGTACATCTTTGGCTTTCTACTCCTCTAATTTGTAAATCTGAATTTCTAGTTTGGCATCACCCTTTTGTGGCTTCCAACCCAGGGCATTTTTTGAAAATGTCCATTAGATAAAGGCAACATGACTGGCATTGCCAGAATCCTTTCTAGGTTGGACACTGTGGCAGATACTTTTGGTGTTCTGTTCACTTCTCTCTGACAGTCACCATTCTAGCACATTCCAATAGATACTACAGCAAGTACCACCACTCTGTCTTGGCTCATGCATGGGGCAGGTCAGAAGTACCAGGGAGTTAATGCCCCCAGAAGTAACTCTCAGCCAGAGATGGATGGGAGTTTTAGGACAAATATCCCATCTCCCTGCCTTTTGGGCAGAAAACTCTGAGATGCAGCCAGCATTGTCTCCCAGAGGTCATCAGGAGGACTTAGCCTTATTTGCCCAAAGAAATAACTCCTAATTCAAGTACCCTGTATTGATTGACTTAATTTCTTTCTCTGAATCATTTCTCTTCTTCTCTAGCAGTGCACCTTCCAAACAAGCTACTTTCACTCCTATCCTTGTCCCAGGGTTTGCTTCTGGGGGGACCCAAATCAAGACAGACGAGCAATTCTGTGTGAGAACGCTCTATTAGATCTAATTCTCAAACTCAGGTCTCTGTGTTTTCCAAAGTAAATGATTCAGGCTTAATTTTTTGGTAGCTTTGTGGTTTTAATTTAGCATACCTTTCACCGGTGGAGCAGGCAGTTTCCTCCTTTGCTGCCTTGATGTATCTATGGTTTGTACCTACAAACAGAATACAATGAGCAATATACCTTTGCAGAGCCAAATATATTTTATCTTCTAAATTTTCCAAGCCATGTAACATTCCAACAGAGGGAGAAAGGGACAAACACACCTGGGTCCTTTGCTTCTGATCCCGTCTTCTTGTGAGGCGCACACATGGTGCTATGTTTAATCCTGCAATGGTCAAGGCTGAAATCCGGCTCTCAATATCAGAAATCTTAAAGCAACAGAAAAACAGGATTGGCAGGGAGAAAATACAGAAGGGGAAAATATTTCTCAAAAGTGTTAAGAATTTATAAAGACAAATCTGCTTTGATGTATGCTCATTCATTCATTCAACTTCTACCAAACACTTCTCTATCTAGTGTGTAGCAAGAAAATAAAACACAGGCCTTTCTGTATAAATTTAAATTTCTAGTTGTTAGCTCTAGAGCATGTCAACAACCCTGTCAGAGTATGCCTAGGGATAAATGAAAGCCTGGGGGCCTGAGGGGGCCCTGGCCCAGGGCCACCTGGCTCAGCATGGGGGTAAGGAGTGGTCAGAAAGTCATAGGATTTATATGTCCCGTCACAGTCATTTATATGTCCTGCTTTCTTCTTCCATAACTTCGTGAATGCAAAACCACAGCACCAGGTTTTAGAAGGAGGCCTGGCAGCCCCCGGTTCAAGTCCATCTCCTCCATTAAGAAGCCAACCAGCCTTGAGAAACTCATTCCCTCTCTGGGCATCATTTTCCTAATTTGCAACATGGGAAGGTCAAGAGAGAGCTCAGATTTTCTTCCAGCAGAGTCTGAATGCAGAAATGGAAAGTAAGAACCCACTTAGTGCCCAGAGAGAACCCTGGTCCTCCCCTGTCTCCAGAAATGAAGATATTCTCCCTGCTCTTAGCAAAGGGCATTATTATGTGCCAGGAACCATGCTTAGTGTTTTAAATACATGAACTCATTCATGTCTCAAAATAATTCTGTGAAATAAGTACCATTATCTTGGTTTCACAGATAAGGAAACGGTGGCTCAAAGGGATAAGTGATATACCCATCATCTCACAGCCAATCTGGGCAGTGCATGGAATTCATGTCAGTGGCCATGCTATTATCACATTGCCACAGTCTCAGAGGATGTGCCAACACCTGGCATGGGGGACACTGGAAAAGGCAGGGAAAGGCTAGCAGAATCAAGGGAAGAGGTCAAGATTCTGCTGAGATGGTACATTCTGAGTGTTGTTAGGAAATCAAACAATAAGCTGATGGTAGACCCCAGCCAATGTGTGTGTGTGCTCCACACATGAGGTCTCCATTGCCTCCCAGCCCTCTGCAATTCAGTGCTACTCAAGACAAATTTGAATTCTGCTGTCATTTACTGAGGGCTTTTTTGAACAAAGTCTACTGTGATAGGAGCTATAGGAGGTATGCAGAAAGACTGAGGGGTCAGCAAATTTGGGAGATGTGTCCCCTACCCCTGAGGGGTGGCAGTCATGGTCAGAAAAGGAGGATGAGGTAGGTGAAGGCCAAGTCTGTGGCATCTGGTAAGAGAATACAAGCTACCCAGTAGCCAGCCCCAGAAGATGCCACTTGAGTCCTGCCCTTCCTGGTCCCCTGATGCCTTTCTGTTCTTAATCTTCAAATTTCACATTAAGAATTGCATTCTTTTGGTTGGTGAACCAATAAATTGCAGAAGCCTCTGAGAAAAGTTGCAGGCTAAGCTTTTACCAGTCATAAGCAACTGGTGTGGATTAGATGCTCACATTCTTCCCCGGAAGCAGTTTTGATGGAGGGCCTTGCTCAGAGGGCCCTGAGAAAGACAAGGTCAATGGGAAAGCAAGCTGCTGACCTCTTCATTTGTGGACTGTCAGATTCTGGAATAAGGAAGGGTTATTTTTTCAAGTTTTAGTCCATAGGACAAAGAACAAAGAAAGAGGAGGCTACTGAGGGCTGATTTTGCCTGTATCTTATCTCTCTATATAATTATGTCCCACTTCAATTATGTCTCTATATAATTATGTCCCACTTCTAGAACTGCATGTCCAAGGAGCTATACATTTGCTAGAAGGGGATGACCAGTTCAGCTCTGAGTTTCCTGGAAGCCAAAGCCAAGAGCTCCATGCCCACAAGATCAAAGACCAAGTACTCAGAAGAACAGCTTTTCCTGATACTAAGAGTTAAGTGTTCTCCAGGAATCCTCATAGAGACAACCTTGCATGATGCAGTGGACAGCACCCTTAGCATGCTCTGCAAGGGTCATTCTGCAGTCTCTTTCAGCACTGGACAACAGCACTCTGTCTCAAAGGTAGACTCTAAGTTGATAGCATCCTTAGAAACTGTCCTAATATTACCAAGAACACAATTTAGCATATGTACCCTCCTCAGTGGGGACCCTCCTACCATCCTGCAAGAAATTATCTGTGAGACTAGACTTTGGATGAGAACAGACAACAGGAAGTTGGAGGCTTCATTCTCTGGCACCAGTTAGCCTGGTGGGGAAAATTTCTGCATACCTGGAGGTGCAGTTGAGATAATCCACAAAGCTGAAGGCAGGGTCAACAACCTCCCATGCAAGTTAAGGACACCTAGGCAAGTGCATGTAGCCTGAGGGCAGGACCAACACATTTCCCAGGACACCACACAGCACGGACTGGATAAGAATGTGGGCTGTTTGCATAAAAACCCTAGAAGAAAATCTAGGCAATACCATTCAGGACATAGGCCTGGGCACGGACTTCATGTCTAAAACACCAAAAGCAATGGCAACAAAAGCCAAAATTGACAAATGGGATCTGATTAAAGTAAAGAGCTTCTGCACAGCAAAAGAAACTACCATCAGAGTGAACAGGCAACCTACAGAATGGGAGAAAAGTTTTGCAGTTTACTCATCTGACAAAGGGCTAATATCCAGAATCTACAAAGAACTCAAACAAACTTACAAGAAAAAAAAACCCCATCAAAAAGTGGGTGAAGGATATGAGCAGACACTTCTCAAAAGAAGACATTTATGCAGCCAACAGACACATGAAAAAATGCTCATCTTCACTGGCCATCAGAGAAATGCAAATCAAAACCACAGGAGATACATCTCACACCACTTAGAATGGCAATCATTAAAAAGTCAGGAAACAACAGGTGCTGGAGAGGATGTGGAGAAATAGGAACACTTTTATACTGTTGGTGGGACTGTAAACTAGTTCAACCATTGTGGAAGACAGTGTGGTGATTCCTCAAGTATCTAGAACTAGAAATACCATTTGACCCAGCTATCCCATTACTGGGGATATACCCAAAGGATTATAAATCATGCTGCTATAAAGACACATGCATACGTATGTTTATTGCAGCACTATTCACAATAGCAAAGCCTTGGAACCAACCCAACTGTCCATCAATGATAGACTGGATTAAGAAAATGTGGCACATATACACCATGGAATACTGTGCAGCCATAAAAAAGGATGAGTTCATGCCCTTTGTAGGCACATGGATGAAGCTGGAAACCATCATTCTCAGCAAACTATTGCAAGGACAAAAAGCCAAACACCGCATGTTCTCACTCATAGGTGGGAAATGAACAATGAGAACACTTGGACACAGTAAGGGGAACATCACACACTGGGGCCTGTTGGGAGTAGGGAGCTGGGAGAGGGATAGCATTAGGAGATACACCTAGGGTAAATGACGAGTTAATGGGGGCAACGCACCAACATGGCACATGTATACATATGTAACAAATCTGCATGTTGTGCACATGTACCCTAGAACTTAAAGTAAAATAATAATTAAAAAAAAAAAAAAAGAATGTGGGCTGTTTGACGTAGTGGATCACACCTGTAATCCCAGCACTTTGGGAGGCCAAGGCTGGTGGATCACTTGAGGTCAGGAGTTTGAGACCAGCCTGACCCACATGGTGAAACCCTGTCTCTACTAAAAATACAAAAATTAGCCAGACGTGGTGGTGCATGCCTGTAGTCCCAGCTACTCGGGAGGCTGAGGCAGGAGAATCACTTGAACCCAGAAGGTGGAAGTTGCAGTGAGCCGAGATCATGCCATTGCACTCCAGCCTGGGTGACAGAGTGAGATTCCGTCTTAAAAGAATAAAAAGAGTGTGGGCTATGAGGTCACGAAATTTGGGTTAAAATCCAGGTTTTATCACTTTCTAGGTATTTGACCTTGGGTAAGTTTCCTCAGATATAAAAGGAGAATAGTAATAGTAGCTACCTTATGGGGTTGCTGAAAAAATAAATACAATAATGTGGTAAAGCATTAAGGACAAATACCTGGTACAAAATAACGCTCACAGAATATTGGGAATTATTGATAATATTATTGTAATATTTAAAAATAAATGAAAAATTAATAGGCATACATTTAAACACATGGAAAATGGACATTTGGAACTCCAGAGTTTTCTGCCATAACAGTCTAGAAAAATGTGGAACGGGGAATAACTATCCAATAAAGGGGGAATAATTATCCTATAAAATCCTCCCAAACACCCGTAAATATTACTTCCTGTAAAATCATTCAAGAAGTATCTGCTACACAATGTAACAGAAAACAAGTGATTTGATTCTAGTTTATATAACTTTGACAGTAAATTGATTGTGTGAAATAAATTGATTAGGTGAAATTTATGGAAAATAATTTTTTTTGGAGAATTGCTATTCAGCCATTCTTAGTGGTAATAGTCAACAGGGCCATCTATCTGATGAGCTCATTTCTAGTTCACAGCATTGAACCATCCACAGAATGGAGAATTGTGCCCTTTCATTCTCTAGAGTGGCTGATGATGTCAGGAGTTGTAATTTTGATTCAATAAAAGTATTTACTTTTAAAATAATTATCACCTGAGATTGTCATCTTCTTTGTGAAATGAAGATAAAATCTCAGGGCCCCCAGTTCACTATGCCAAAAGGGAGACGTTTGGAAGCTGAGTCACAACCCCTCCTCCCTGCCCCGCAAAACTGGCTTTCCTTTTGTTCCTAAACTGATAGCTACAGATAGAAGGCCACATGTCTTCACAGCTTCCGTCACCCTGACAATGGAAATTAACAGCTTATCTTCATGGGTACAGGACAGGAGGAGACTAGAAATTGTCCCCTCACTCACCTGAAAATGAATGCGTATTTGACTGCTTCCTCTACTCTCTGTTTACTTTTACTCTATCTTATGTAAAGCACAGATTTACTGAGTGCAAGATGAATACATAATTGACCATTCCCTTTACCCCTCCTTTTCATGTGCAATGGGCAGATTCACAAGAATGTCACCAAACCCTCCCTCTTTCCCTCCATCCCTTTCTGCTCCTGCCCACTTTTCCTCTTTAAATATTGAAACCCTCAAAATCCTGTTTGGAAAAAGTACGAGCCACAGATCCACTGTGGTTTCTGTCTCTTTTTTTTTTCTGGGTGCATCCTCAATCTTGGCCAAAAAACACCCTCTAAAATGACTGAGACTCACTTCAGTCAGTTTCTTTGATTTATGTCTCTATCCAAATATGGTTTCTATTGACCACAGTTCTCCCAATGATTCAGTTTTAAGATGCAGGATCTATCTCAGTGGCTCCCGTCTGTAATCCCAGCACTTTGGGAGGCCAAGGTAGGCAGATTGTCTGAGGTCAGAAGTTCGAGACCAGTCTGGCCAACATGGTTAAACCCCATCGCTACTAAAAATACAAAAAGAAAAAAAAATTAGCTAGGCATGGTGGCATGCACCTATAACCCCAGTTACTTGGGAGGCTGAGGTGGGGAATTGCTTGAACCAGGGAGGTGCATGTTGCAGTGAGCCGAGATCGTGCCATTGCACTGCAGTCCAGCCTGGGTAACAAAGCAAGACTCTGTCTCAAAAAAAAAAAAAGAAAAAAAAGAAAAAAAAGAAAAAAAAAGAAATATCAGCAAACCAGGGGTCTATACTGAACTTAAGCTGCAGAGACCAGTGTCTCTCAAACTTGAGTAACACATGGAGCCCTTTTAAAGAAAAAAATTGTCATGGGTCCCGAGAATATATCTGCAGACCCCAGTTTGAAAATCAGTGGCTTAATCCATGGTCAGTTTTAATTTACAGAGTCAAAGGCTATGGGAATATCTATGAAAACTTCAAATAGCCATATTCACAAAGTTATAGAGACTATGTCAGTCAGTTCTTAAATAGCCATATCTAAATCCTGCCTCCTCCTCATGAAAAATATTGTCCTGAGAAATGTATGCTTCCAATTTCCTTCATTTATTCACTCCATTTTTATTGTGTGCTATGTCTGTGCCAGGTATTGTGCTAGGCACTGGAGTTACATGTTAAGCCACACAGTTATAGTTCTATTCTCATGGAGCTTTCAGTCTATAATGGGGAATATTACTTAATATTATTGCTTAATAAGTAATCAACAGTATGATAAGGGTCAGAAAAGGATGGTCTTGGAGTGGAATGGAAACCTGTATAGTAGAGAGACTTACGTACGGGTCAGGAAATTTCTCAAAGAGGAAACTGGTATAAGGTTTAAAGGGCAGTCCAATATGTTATTAAGGCTTTAATTTGGGGGAGAAGAGGACTACACTTTTAAAGGGAGAATTTGGTGGAATTCATCTGGAAGGACCATATCCATGCAAACATGCTGGAGATGATGGGAGCTGATAGATATAATGGCTTTAAAGTGATTCTTGTAGAACATGGGGCTTCCTCTTTCACCCTGCAGGACCCCTGTGGGCAGAGAGGAGAGTTCTCACCTGGAGTTCAGCATGGTGGACTTGGGCTGCAGCCGTGGCCACCTGGTCCTCCAGATCCGCCAGATGGATCTCATCAGTGCCGCTGTGGATGCAGCGGGCGGCATCTTCCAGCTCAGTCAGCTGGCTCTCCAGTCCATACACAGTGCCTGCTGCCAGGTATACCTGTGGAGAGAGTGCTGCATTTGAGTTCAGGTCTGCAGACCTGGGACTGGTTAGGATCCCTTGAGGGGACCCCAGCAATTCAGGGGAGTGAGAGAGAGAACTGGGCTTAACATGGCAGGGGGAATGTTATTTTTATAACATTTATGAACATTCTTCACACTTAAGTGTGTGAGGTCTTGACACCCCTCACTGTCAACCACACCTTCCCTCTCCCACAAACTTTCCTGTATGAAAAAGCATTTTAAAGTTGCTTTTGTTCAAATAGTGCAAAATACATGACATCAGCTATGCAAATTGTGTATTGCTCCAGTGACTATAAAAATGACTATAAAGAAGAAACAAAGAGAAAAACTCATGATGGAATTTTGCCAACACAACTTTTGTTTAGCATTTAGTATTTGAGAAAGAATTCAGAAAACATGAAAGAAGGGAAATAATTTAAGATAATTACAGATTTTGAGTGAATTCTCTCTGATTAATTAGCTTCTGCATGCTTCAGTGAGATTAAGGGAATTGAATAAACCTGAAGTTTGTAGTTGAAAATATTTCTTAGAAAATAGTGTGATGTTAAGAGAAGCATGTTGAATCTATTTATCTGTCAATTAGGACAATTTTTGAGAACTATTAAAAATGAGAGCAAGTCATAAAGAAATTTAAGAAAAAGAAACATTTTTTACTTACAAGTTTATAAGATTATTCCCATAAAAGTGAGCAAGGTAAAATTCTTGAAATAACTCAGACTAAGTGGTGTGGGCCAGGGTGAATGAAACACATACCCCCTCTCCCTAATCAATAATGTGATGAAGCAACCAACAACACAAGAAATGAGATGTATCTAAAGAAAGTCATTACTTAAAGAGAGGTTCTTGACGTTTAATCAACATATATAAAATCCTAAACCTGTAATCACAGCAATTTAGAGTTGATTTGAATGAAGCAGATGGCCAAGACTTTAACAGTTTCCTTAACTTGGGTTAAAAATATAGCAGAATTGAAGACAAGTCAAGAGTTCAGGTACACAAGTTATGCACGTTTCTTTTTCTTTCTTTCTTTTTTTTTTTTTTTTTATACTTTATGACGCTGTGTTGGTGAGAGAAAGAAGCCTGAGATGTTCCCACTCTGTCAATTCCTTGGCATGATTCACTCATCTGTTTTAAAACTGGCAATTTTACAAAACATTTCAAGGTGGAGCAAAGGCAGGTACAGGTTTGATGAAAGCAAATTTGTGCACCATCACCAGGCATAATTACCTGGGCTGTAGGAGCTTTCAGCACTGATTGGCACAGACGATGTCACATCAGATGATTCACCAATCATACAGGGGCCATGAATCAAATGTCTGATGGGAATTGCCATACTTCAGTTTATCTTTTGTTTTATGTTTCTTTATCATATGTTGAATATGTAATTCTGTTTCATACAGAGAAATTCTGTTTCTAAGAGATCCTCACAATTTAATCACAGCCATTTATTTTTGTTTTTAAACAAGAAATGGTTCTTTGTCAAATGAAAGAAATGATAAATATTTCAAAGGTATTTGAGTGAATAAATTATTCAAATAATGTATCACAAAATTTCTGAAGTTGAAAAACTTCCCTTTAGAGGGTAAAAATATAATTGGTGGTGGGGAAAAGGGGGACAACCAGAGAGAGAGAGAGAGAGAGAGAGAGAGATGTTTGAAGTTTATTATACTTTTTTATACTTTCTCCTATCTACACCAAAAAAAGTAAATTTATTTTAATAAGAATATAAAATATAAATCTACAGTTTTACACAGTGAAACAACATTTGGAGTTATTTAAGTGAAATAATTTAAGCATGGCAATGGTTAAACAGAACTTGACATAACTAAGGTCTTGGAACCTTCATTTTAGCAGCAACATGCAAAACTCAATGTCATCACACCCTGGGATGTGCATCAACCTGATTGCTGTTTACATCTTCAACATGTTCATTCGCTAATGTTCCTTGTTTTTTTTTTTTTTTTTTTTCTGCCAAGACAAAGCAAGATGAAAAAGCTCCAAGCCCTCAGCAAGGCCAGAATGTTCATCTTTTACTCTGTGTTCGCTAAAAGCCTACTTTCCTGGCACCAGGAGGAAGAATAGATTTAGTGGTTTGGCACTGATACTGGCTGAACAGGAATTTACAGCCAAAATGATGGTGCCTAAAGGACTGGAGGAGAATAATGATGATGATAGTGGGGATGATGATGATGTGATGACAGCATTAATTTATCGAGCCAGTGGCTGAGCCAAGGGTTTTATGTGACTTATATATGCTCATAGCAACACTTGAGGTAGATACTATTGTAATCATTGTGTTCAAGATGAGAATTTTTATGTTCTAGGAAGGTTTAGTGATTTTCTGAGGTCTCTCTGCTGGGGACTGGTGAACCCTAGAAGTGATCTCAGAAGGGCTGAAGCTAGTTCCCTTGCCTTTATCCTCCTTGCCCTATGATGCTGTGATAATCTCAGTTGGAATGTTATAACATTTTGCATTTCAGATTTTAACATAAAGGTACTAGAGTTACTATGGTTACAGATGGATACGATATTGGCTCTGTTGCTGGCTTGAAATAAAAAAAGGTAACATGCTATATGATGAAAATGTTATTCTAGCTTTATAAAACATAACTCATTTGAAAAATGTTCACTTGGACTTGCTTGGTAAGTTAAGGTCCACTTTTGGTGAGAACTATGGTTACCATATCTGAGTAATCTATGACCCCTTCAAACTCTAGTCATTGATGCCTATGATTGCATTCACTGGCTCTCGGTTCAACAAGGCTTTCTCAAAGTGGTTCAAGGCGTAAGAATAGGTGTTTCCTTAATGAAACACTTATTTGTGATTAAATTCTCTAGAATAAAGAGTGTTAAACAGATTTCTTTACTGCATGTCTTCTGAGAGGCTTTAATGTGCTAATATGTATCTCAATTTTCCCAGAAAAAGTATGCAAGCTTCCAAGACCTATTTGACCTTAGAGCATCTTGTTGGACTTGACTTCCATGAAATATACTTTAGGGGACTAATGTGTTTCTTTCCTTGCACTCTGAGGGCAGAGAACCACCTGAGTAACCAGGATCATCTCCACAAGTTCTAGTGCCACATCCTCTTTAGTGCTGTGAGGGTTGTAGGAGAGCTTTGGGAAAGAGGACCAACATCCTCTGCATGGACCTGGATTCAGTGGCAGAGCTGGACTCCCTGTAGTGCAGGTCTACTGTGTCTGCTGCCACTGGTTGTATACTCCATGGGCAATGTGGGGTGGAGCTAAAAGGGAAGTTGGGTTTGCCCTCCACTCCCTCTGAGGCTGGGGATTATGGGTTACTTACAACCCTGCATACATCCTCAAGGTGGCAGTCCTACTATTCACACCACAGGTCTGAGAATGCTCATGCTAGTCATTCTCTGTTGACCTTCTAGGTCCATTTTCTATCCTTCTTTGTCCTGCCCTGTTTCCTGGGAGGCTGACCTATTTGGACTTCATCACCAGGGCTTCCTGGCTGTCTGGGATGGGTTTGGTCAGTAGAGATACCACTGTCTGGGACTGGTAATAGCTTCCTTTTATTGCTACTATTCCACCCTCAGCATCCCATAACCTTGCCCACAGTTGAGTTGACAGCCCCTTCATGAAATTCTCCTCTTCCAGCTACACCCCAACAGGTACAGTGGAGCTCTTCACACAAGTTTAAAATACCTAGAGACCAAGGCATTCAGCCCAAGGAACTGAGCCCCCATTGCGTGCTGCTGTGGAGGCTGGGATTAGTCCTAGGTTGTTTCTGCCTTTAGGGGAGACAAGAGCTGATTTCACTGCACTGACGCCAGATAGCAGGTGAGGAGTGTCAAAGCTGAGAGACAAGATAATTCTCAAATACCCATGCCCTCTGCTAATTAAGGGGGTTAAGGCAGTTTATGAAAACAGGAGATTGGATATGTAAATGCCGATGTTTCTTTATCTTATGTAGCTCTGAAACCTTCACAAGTATTTTTATTTTTTTTCTTTTTTCCTGTTTTGCTCAGGACCCGTTGTGTCCCTCAAGGAAAGAGATGTCACAGTAAAGATGATCTGAGGTCCTGGGGAGATCCTTTCTCTTCCTCCCCATTACAAAAGCCACACAGGCGAAGCTAGTGTAACTGGGCAGAGCTGTGAGTCTTCAGAGGTATTTTTAAAGGTGAACATTCTCAACCAAATGTTCTTTTTCTCCCCCTGAGTCCTGTCCTGCGGTAACCAATGTTCAGAAAGCAAGAATAGTGTCACCGTTTCTATTTCTGACAGTCCCTAGGTTCCCTTGCACAAAGGAGAACAGCGGAGGAGTACAGGACTGTTCTTTATTCTGAAGACCAACAAAAGCCATGGTTTAATGAGATCAGCTGCGCCCAGAGGACAGTTTAAGAACCACCCTGGCTTCTCCCACTGCTCAGCTGAATTCCATCCGGGAGCAGCAGAGCGAGGCAACGCGCCCGTGGCTCTGTGATCTGTTGAATTAAAGAGACGAAGAGTCATCCTTTCCCTGACTCAAAAGCCCATGAATTCAAAAGAATATAGATGGGGTTTCTTCTGAGGTTAAATTTAAAAAGCTGAAGGATGGGGGAAGGGAAGGAGGAGGAAGAAGGCAGTTTACTCTTTGGGAACAGGAGAGGCATGAGGGGTGCAGAACAGGGGAGCAGTCACCTACAGACTGGGCCTTCCAGCCTCGGTCCCTGCTGGGGCTTCTGACATCTTCAGTCTGTGAGTAAGTGGACATATTTTAAATCGAAACTGTTTAATGAACCCAAAGGAAAAAAAAAAAACATAACTTACAATTAAAGGATCTTACAAGATGAAAACTACAATGAGGCCATTGCATTCTTTTCAACATGCTCCTTGGAGGTAAAAATAAAAGGGCAGGATATCTTTGTTTTAAGTGTGCTATGAAAACTGACCATTTTCATTTAAACCAGATATTTCACACACTGTTTTTCTGATACCATACTTTGTAAAAAATACATTCGTTTGCTAGTGAACCATGTCTTTAACCTTTTCAATTCTGTGTGTCCAGGATCAGGGCCATCTCAGGACTCAGCTATATTAGAGACACATTTAAAGAACAGAGACCCTGTGCATGAGAAGTCAAGCAGTTCTTTGTAAAAGGGGTTTCGTTCCTCTGGTGTAGTCATACATCAGCTAAACATTCACTAAGTGCTTCCTCTGTATCAGGCTCTGGGTGGTGGACTGGGGCTAGGCTACAGAAATAAAAAGTGGGAAACCCTGTTCTGCAGGAATTTATATATCTCGTTCCCAATCTGGGGGTGATTTCGCCCTGCCCCAAACCCCTAACATTTGACAATGCCTAGAGACATTTTTGACTGTCACACTGGGAGGGTGCTGCTGCTGGCAGTTAGTGGGTAGAGACCAGGGGTGTGGACAAGTATCCTGTGCACAGGACAGCCCCCGCACGAAGAATTGCCTAATCCAAATGTCAATAGTGCCAGCCTAATGGGAGATGGATGAGTGAACAGAAAAGATGGAAAGTGTGAAAAGTCACCAGACAGATACATGCATAGGTTTTATGGGAGCCCAAAGGGAGAGAGTCTTCAACTTTTAAAGTGAAACAAGCATATATATATATGTAATTTTATTCATAGAGATGGGATCTCACCATATTGACCAGGCTGGCCTCAAACTCCTGGCCTCAAGCAATCCTCCCATCTTGGCCTCCCAAAGTGCTGGGATTACAGGCATGAGCCACCACACCCAGCCTGCATTTAAAAATTTTTCATTTCTTATTGTTTCAACTTTTATCAAAAAATACTTCAGGCTGGGCACAATGGCTCATGTCTGTAATCTCAGCATGTGGGAGGCCAAGGCAAGAGGATCACTTGAGGTCAGGAGTTTGAGACCAGTCTGGGCAACATAGCAAGACCCCATTTCTGCTTTAAAAAAAAATACTCTCTAATAACAATTCCTGATTTCTGGGAACAGCATTCATTAGAGCACCTCAAAAGCACAGTTGACTTTGCAGGAGCTGGCATTACCTAACTTGATTTGATATCAACTTCATGGCAAGAGCCATGCCAACTACTGATGGTGACTACAGCTTGAGTGTTAATGTCCAAATTTCTCAGTGTCACCCTTGGTCTGGAGTACTGGAAAATTCTTATCCTCAGCTATTTCCTGAAATACTCAGTGATCATGAATATTTACCTGTAAAAATTTATTACACTGTTTATTTCATCACAAATCAGAAGGACTGAAAAACCCATTACTAGCAAATATACCTATTAGGCCAAACCAAACATACAACTCCTCAAGGGGCAGTGAGAGCTTTCCTGAACTCTGAAGTTATCACTCACACCCACCCCTCCTCCAGGCCAGGTGCCTCTTCCTTGACAGCCAAGAATTTTTCTTCTCTTTGAATGGAAGGGGGAAATTACAAAGTCCTTTAACCTAAACATAGTCATGCTTTGCTAAACAATGAGGATATATTATTAGAAATGCAAAATTGTGTGAACATCATAGAGTGTACTTATGCAAACCTAGATGGTATAACCTCCTACACACCTAGCCTATTGCTCCTAGGCTACCGCATGTTACTGTACTGAATACTGTAGGCAATTGTAACACCATGGTAATTATTTGTGTATCTAAACATAGAAAAGGTACAGTAAAAATACAGCATTATAATCTTATGGGACCACCACTGTTGTATATGTGATCCGCCATTGACCAAAACCTTATTATACAGCACATGACTACAATTATATTTGTGAATACCTTTTAGGCGTACAAACTAAATGGAATTGAATCTGAAGAAAGGTAAATGTAAGCACTGTCTTCTCCTCCCTCCCCCAAGTACACTGATTTTTCCTTCAGAGATGTACAAGTTTCCACAGGGAACCAGCTGACTTGGCTGATGGTCTTTAACCCTTCTAAATGTTGAAACAGATTGTGAGCACCTTCCCCTTCATCCCCTTCCCCCTTTCCAGACATCTGGTAGATCTCACCTCCTTTCCCTGTGACCCTGACTCTGAGGCATGGCTTCCTTCAGGCAGAAAAGGACCTGGCACCAGGAAAAGCCCAGCTACCTAAGTCAGGGTCCTCAGAAGGAGCAACAAGTAAAAACAGGATGAATGAGGCAGATGAGTCTTCTGGGCCACTCTGCCTACACTTCTGTAAAAATGGATGATTTTTCAATAAAGCAAAATCACCAGTAGGACTTGTTTTATTTCCATTCTTTCTCAAGTGTCTTTCTCTTGAAAGCAGCAAATGCATACTTGTTCCAGGATGAGAGAAAGAGCTAAGAGTGTGTGTTATTAAAGTTGGAATCACTTTTAACAACCCATTCTTTAGTGAATTTTAATGGGATCATTTTAGGAATTGGCTGATGACATGCCTTTCAAATACTAATAAGAATAACCAATATTTATGTGTACTTTTTTGCAGGCATTATGCTAAATGTTTTATTTCCAAAGAAGAAATGTAATTTTGAATATAGTTGATGTTAGGCATTTTCCTCTTGATTGGCAGATCCACTAGCAGTGGTTGGTTAGCATCCTTATTGGGGAGCATAGGAATTGGGGAGGGGGAAATCATGGCAGTCTGAAGTCTAAATATGGTCAGAAGGTAATACAGTGGAGTCTTACTCAGTTCCCAGAGTGCTTGGACAATTTTGGAGTGGAGTGTGGTAGGCTCAAAAGAAAGACAGTGGGCTTCTTGTTGCTAATGGCACAAGGAGACTTGGGTGATTCATTGGAAACATAAATTACATATGATTGTGTTGATATCTTTTTTTTTTTTTTTTTGAGACAGGGTCTCACGCTGTTGCCCAGGCTGGAGTGCAGTGGCACCATCTTGGCTCACTGCAACCTTCGCCTCCTGGGTTCAAGCGATTCTCTTGGGTCAGCCTCCCAAATAGCTGGGATTACAGGCGCCTGCCACGACACCCAGTTAATTTTTGTATTTTTGTAGAGACAGGGTTTCACCATGTTGGCCAGGCTAGTCTCAAACTCCCGACCTCAAGTGATCCGCCTGCCTCAGCCTCCCAAAGTGCTGGGATTACAGGCATGAACCACAGCACCTGACCAGATTGTGTTGGTATCTTAAATTAGAGAAGCAGAGAAGACCAGTTGTAGTAACTTCAGTTCTTTTGGCAACTACTTCATCCCCTGTAGCGGCACTGGCAATACCTGGATCCCCTTGGATCTCTTTTATAGTTTCTCTATACTCTTCTCCCTGCCCACCAAGCTTTTATTCCTAGCAGCCCATATCTATACAGGGGACTGCCTTTGGGCTACTAGAGACACTGCCTGCGTGCAAAGAGACTGAAGTGCCTGCTGGTTGTAAGAAGTGTCAGTTCTTTTGCCCTAGGTCAGGACAACTCTGAGGTGCAACTTCTACTCAGAGCTCTCTGCAGGATCAAGCTGAAGCTCCTCTTTGTGTAAGATCATGTCCTTGCTTGGATTCTTCCCTTTCCCTTACTTTCCCCATTCCCTTACTAGCTTCCCTTGGGAGCATTCCCTAATAAGTCATATGCACACAAATCTTATCTCAGGGTCTGCTTCTGGAGAATCCAACCTAAGGTCCTTCCTGAGAATGTATTTGCTATGGTGGTAGTGGTGTGTGTATCCTTGCACTCTTCATGATAAGCTACAACTTCATCAGCTTCTTCACACACATTCACCCTAGACAGGGCACCTCCACACCCTCTTACATTTTCTTCCAGGGAAGTCAGCTGCTCATCCAGTCTCACTTGGTCTGTCCCACGAGGAAACGTCCCCTTCTCTCTGTCAGGAGGGACTTGTGGGGACTCCCAGGGCCCTGTAGATCCTGCTATCAACTCCTCTGTGGCATTGATGACTTTCAGGACTTCTGTGGAGATGTTGCAGAGAGAAACAGCAGAAAACTTCTGTTTGGTCCGATAACAGAAGGGGACAGAAGACAAGAACAGCACATTAACAATGACACAGAAATTCTATGTTATCATGACACTCATCATCATGAGGCTGATTCTGTAATTCCACACACAAACACCAATGTGCCGAGGAATGAGATTAAACTAGACACAGCAGAAGAGAACTGAGGGGAGGCCTGATTTGACTTTGCCTAGTTTCTGTGACTCATAATAAATTATTTCAGATTCTTGGGGAGGGAAGGAGGAAGGAGTGCTAGAGTGGAAGCTGTATGTCCTCTGCCCACTGCTGGTAGTTTAATATCTCTTGTCTTATTTGCTGAATAATATTATACTTCATCAGCAAAACTTCAATCTCAGACTGAAGTGTGGTCCAGTGGGTAGCTTTCTGGACTGGCATTTAAGAGACCTGGGCTCCAGTTCTGGCTCTAAATTCACCCAGTTATGGGACCTTGGCCAAGTTATTTCTTATTTCTGGAACTCATTTTTGTCATTTGTACAATGAGGGTACTAGAAAGAATTTCTCTGTAGTTTCTTGATAGACAGTGTATTAGCTCACACACCTATTTTCAAGCCCATTCTCTCTTGCTGTCTTCTACCATGGGGGTGAACAGGAAAATACTCAATTTTCCTGCTTCCCTTGCAGCTAGGTATAGTCATGTGACACAATTTTAACTAGTGAGTCCACAGGGAAAGACTGAGGAGTTTCTAGATAAGCTTTTGTTTTCCTAATCAGGGGAATTGGTGCATCTAATGTTCCTCTCTTCCTCCCCACTTGTTTCTGCCTTAAACATAGACATGCAGTTTATGAGCCAGCAGAATTGAAGAAGAATGCCAAACCTCCAAGCGAGATGGGGCAGAAAGACTGAAGGAGCTTGGACTCAGAGAGCACTGGATTGGGTGAACCACTGGGAGTCATCACCTGCCTCTGAATATCATGTTATGTGAAAAAAGATCCCCTATCTGTTGAAGCCACTGTTGGCCAGGTTTTCTGTTATCTGTGGCTGAACGTGTTCCTGACTGACACAGGTCACTTCCAGCTTTTACATTCAAGGTTCAAAATTACAATCAATCCGGATTTGGGCCAATGTCATTAATGGAGCAGAGGCACATCGATCCCAAAGACTTATCTGCATTTTGAGTTCATCTGAACATACAGCATCATGCAATAAGCTGGAGATCACTGTTGCTTGGCAGTCATGGTTTCCATCTACAAACAATTTTGTTTATCTCATCATACCATTTGTAAATTAGAAGTTGAATACTGCTCACAGGCATATTTCGTGTGACCAGTAAAATGTTTGGTAAGATATGCCTTTCTAAGGTATCTGTCTGACCCATACAATCTTGACCAAAATGTTAATGATAGCTATGACTTGATTTTGCAAACTTTGTTCCTCCGAGTGGATTCTATTTTAGGTTTTGTCTCACTAGAGAAGGTTTCCGTTGGCCCTCCCACTTCACTAGAGAAGCAAAGGGGCTAAGTGACAAATTAGTGGCTGAGTCTATAGTCCAGAAGCTGACTCTGGGCTTCTACACTGAGGCACATGGTCTCACACCTGTCAAGCCATTCTGGGGTGAGGACACTTGTGCCAGAGGGCTCCTCTTTAGCCTTAGCCTGTCTATTCCACAATAGCTGCTTGACTGAGCCAATAGCCATGTTTCTGTTGGTTCAGGGGGCTTTGCTACATACCAAAAAGGTAGGGTCTGGGGTCCCAGGGGAATGAGATGGAGGGGAGGTGATACAGACCCACCAGAATAAGGGTAATGTCCAAGAGAACAGCCAGAGCCAAGTCTTCACCTTAGGAAAAATGTGCAGAGGATGTCCCCTACTTTTCAGGATCCTGTAGCTTGGTGTGGGAGATTTTGGAGACAAATTGGGCTCAAAATAATTTTGGCAAGAACCAGCTACCACTGCTTAAGCCTGTTTCAGAAAGGGCAACATTGTATGCATGAAAGCGGATTTGTTACCCTTTTATTAGGAATAAAACGTGTTTAGAAAGATTGCCCCTTATTTGGTAGACACAGTGCCTTTGTAGATCTTTTGAAAAGAAAGATATATGACCAAGGGATTCAGAAAAAGAAGTTAGACCGTAGCATGAGGGAGGGGAAAGCAAAAATTTACACAAATTTCCAAACAGCACAGGGCATTAAAGGTCCAAGGTGTTAATGGAAAGGACTTAAGAGATGCTTAAACAGAAACAGTGATCTATATCCTGACTTCAACTGAACATACAATCAAAAGGGTAAGTTGGCCAACAATACTGTTTGACCATCATTGTTTTATTCCATCTATAAACAGCCTTGTTTATTCAGTCATGAGAGTTGTAAGCTTGAAGGCAAATATTACCCATGCTTTTTGGCCTAGAATACCTCCTGTGAGATATGCACTTCCCAGTTCTCTGTACTCCCCACAGTTCATTCTACATCTTTATTGGGACCCTATGGTGTGCCAGCTCTGTTGCAGGTGCTGGGATAAAGCAGTGAACAAGAGGGATGCAGTTCCTGCCCTCATGGTATACCTTTGGCCCTACCCCATCCACTTGTCACATTGACTTACTGTCTTGGCCTCTGAAGGCATTTGCATTTTCCCTTAAGTCAGAATGAGGAGTCCCAGCTAGCTGGTCTGAGGAGAGCACCACAGCTTCACCTGGAACACCTGAGTTCTGCTTAAAGACCTGGACCATTTCAGCTTCCAGCTGGCAGAAGTGACGGATCGGGCCAGGCATGGGGGCTCATGCCTGTAATCCCAGCACTTTGGGAGACTGACGCAGGTGGATCACCTGAGGTCAGGAGTTTGAGACCAGCCTGGCCAACATGGTGAAACCCTGTCTCTATTAAAAATGCAAAGATTAGCCAGGTGTGGCAGCGGGCACCTGTAATCCCAGCTACCTGGGAGGCTGTGGCAGAAGAATTGCTTGAACCTGGGAGGTGGAGGTTGGAGTGAGTTGAGACCCGCCATTACACTCCAGCCTGGGCAACAAGAGTGAAATTCCGTCTCAAAAAAAAAAAAAAAAAAAAAAGGAAAAGAAGAAGTGACTGAACAAAAATTATATGAAAACTGGACAAGATCTCTTCATTGGTTGGTGTCATTTTGCTCTCCACTGGGAAATGCAAACTGGAATCCACAGCAATTTCCCACCTGTAGGGAATCAAGTGTTTTTTGTCTGTTCCCTAGGAATGGGCTGTTTGCTTGGACCTGGGGGTGGGTATGGACCATGCACCTACTGGAAGTTGAGATAACTTGGATTTCAATAGCTATATGACAGGGTCAGGGCACCTAACCTCCCTGTTCCTTATTGTGCTCACTGGCCAGTGAAAGATCAGCTTTCCTACCGGGCTAACACTGACTTGTAATGTAAATGTCCTGTTCCCTGCCCAGTCTAGAGAAAAGTGAAAAGCACCTCCTACAACTATGTTAAAAAAGTTATATTTAGCACTGGATGGGGGTTTGATCAGATGAAAAGCTGGTGGAGATTCAGAGGTGGCTGACAGGGAGCCCTGTATGTGGGAGAAATGAAAAGCTAAAGGATCCTACCTATTTCTACTGCTTGCAGCCCCAGAGGAATGAGCGAATGGCACAAATTGCGAGTTGAGAGCCCAGACAGAGCATGCCATTGTGGTAGCTGACTTTCTCCAGATATTAATCATAAGGGAGATCAAATATGGGTTTTATGGTAGCAAATGAGGGAGGAGTGAAAGCATGGAGAGAGTCAGCTGACACAATAGGAGGCTTTGCAGAACAGGGAGGTGGGTCTCAAGACACTTGCAGCTAAGGGACCCACAGACAATGGAATGAAAATGGCTGGTAAACCCATGTAACAAAATTCAACCTTCTAGTGAGCAAAGAAATGCAAATTAAATAACACATTTATTAGGTGCCAGATACATGCACAATTCTCTTTTTTTTTAAATGCCAACTGCATGCCGATGTACCTTAGTGCAGGTAGCATGTGTTGAACTTTGAGCTGTTGACCCACCGTAAGATGTAGATCTGTGCTCTGAGGCAGCCATGCTCTTGGTGTCCTGCTGACTGATGCTCACCTCTGAGAGCCCAAGTGTCCACTTCTAGGGTTCACTCTGTGTCACAGCCCCATGCAGAACACCAAATCTATAATGTCAGCTTCACAACCACCGGGGCTGAAACAGTTCGCCACTTGGGGCACAGAAAGTGAGGAGAAGCACACTGGTGTTGCAAGCCCACCACAGAGCCACGAGGGCAGAGGAACAGGAAGGTAAGATCTGACTCCTCTCATCCTGAGATGGAGTTTCCTCAATTGCTCATCAACGAGGTAGTGAAACTGCTGTCAACCTCTGTGAAAACTCAGGCTCCCAGCTCAACTCACAAATGGCACAGTGCTGAAGCTGGCCTTCATGACAGTCATTTACCATGCCAAGGTTGCAACTCTGCCTCAGTGGCTATTTCAGTGGTCCCAGTAAAGATGACCAATTGTGCAATTCATCCCAACCGTATCGTTTCTTTCCTCTAGGGAATGTAGGCAGAGTAAGACTGTTTTTTTTGTTTGTTTGTTTTTTGTTTTTTTTTTTTGTCTGAGGACCCAAATACACTTTACCTTAGCAATCTCTCTGTCTTGTGCTTATATGCTTTCTTTCCATATAAAAATGTGTTGCTGTAAACAAATTTCTACTCTATGTACTCTTCCCTATCAACTGTTTTTCAAAGACATGGAGAATGCAAGGTGTTGCCAGGGGAGATCTGAGCCTGTAGAATTCTAAAGGAGAAAATATTTTCATCTAAACATTAGATGTATCTGCTCGTTAGCAATCTTTGTAAATTCTCCTGAGATTTTCCCAGTGTCATCATTCATTTCTAAGCTTTGTGTTGCACAGAAAAATGCAAATTCATTTCAAGCTGGAATAATCAGGAATGCTCTTTACCAGAATATCTTACTCTTGTGAATGAGTGAGCAGCAGGAGTGTGTTCTAATAATCGGATGTCTGGCTTCGTGGAGAGACACCACTTCGGAATTAAAGAG